ACTAAACCAAAAGAAGTTGTTCATTATTATTGTTGTTATTATTATTTCCCACTGAACCATACATTTTCCATGTAAAGAACCTAAGACTTAAAAGAGTTTATGGGAATGACTCTGACCACTACATTTCTAATCTGGGTAGAGATAGGGGCTGATGTGACTTGTCCAAGCCACAAGGTAAATGACAGCTAGCCATAGGGAACATGTCACCTGGGCCAGACACTGTGCTGGGTGCTGTGTGCGCACTGTCACGTGGACTCCCCCAAACCGTCATGGGGTAGGGGCTATTGTTCTGACTACTTTATAGGAGAGAGGCAGAGGCTCAGAGAGGGTGAGGGACTTTCTGGAAGTCACAAAGGAAGGCAGCAATGTCTGTCTGACCCCAGGTGTATTGCTCCTAACCCCTGTGCCAGATTTTAGAGCAGATGCCATTTACAGGATGCTTATCTCAAAATCGCCCACCTACCTACCCACCCCTACAAAAGGAGCCATTCCCCAGGCTCCCTGGAGGCCTCCTTCTCCATTCTACTGGGCTCTGCCCACATCATAAGGGTCTTGAGAGATGTTTGGCCTCAGTCTGTTCATATGCAAAAAAGGAGTCCTTCACCCCAGCCCCACTTATCCAAAGGAGCATGAGGAACAAAAAGGGTCAGTGGCCTGGACAAGCTCATGCTCCCGACTCTGAAGCCTGGCTCAAGGACCTGATGCACCGAGAGCAGAGCCAGACCCTCCCCAGGAAGCCATGAGCTTGCAGATATAGCAGCTTCAGAGCACAGACCCCCGCAGGAGCCATCTCCCTCTGTCTTCACCATCACTACCACTAATAACGACATCAATCAGGTTGACCACGTTTCACACCATTACTCGCAGCTTTTTTGACTTTCCCCCCTCACCCACCACTTTCCAGAAAGCAAAGAGCTTTCCAGAAGGGAAGAGAATGAAACCAACATTTTTCCAAGTTCCTACTATGTGCAGAGAACCTGGCTGAGCCCTTTTTACAACTCTGCCAGGTAGAGATGACTCTTTCTCTTTGACAGAGAAAGAAACTGGGGTCCGAAGGAGTGAACGCATGTGTCCAAGGTCACACAGAGCTGGGGGAAGAACGACCAGAGCAATGATGTATTCGTGAGCACACATTGGCTCACAGTGCCAGGCATGTGCATAATCCTACTAAAACATTACCATTTTCATTTTCAGATGAGGAAACTGAGGCCTGAAGCAATGAACAGACCTGTCTGAGGTCACACAGTGCTTAAATGTGAGCAGCAGAGTGGCGCAGGGGAGAGGGGTGGCTCTCTGTTCAGGCAGAAGAGTGCTTGCAGGCAAACCTCATCACCTCTCTGAGCCTCAACGTCCTCATCTGAAAAGGGGGATAATAACACCTCTCCCATTGTGTGGAATAACAATAATAAGAAGGGAAAAACTGTAAAATAGCTAACAGTTATCGATTGTTTAACATGTACCAGGCACTTTGCCAAGCACTTTACATATGTAAGCTCATTTGGTTAAATGAGGTAATGCATATAAAGTGCTTAGCACAGGACTCCAGAAATGGGAGTAATAATGATGATGATGAAGAAATTGATGATGACTCCCTTGGGCAAATATGCTCAGTTCATCTTCTTACGGGAAGAAAAGAGTGAGTGGCCTGAAAGGTTTCAGGAAGGAGGTGGATGAGAAAAGGGCAGGGTCTGGACAGGAGAGGGAAAAGGGAAACACATAAAAATTAGAGATGAATATATTAATAATGTTGAGATGATACACCAAGTAGAAGCCAGGAAAGCAAAGGACAAGATAAAGCAAGATATTCTAGGGAATGGAACCAGACCAAGATGCACTGAAACCTCCAGGCCAGCCCAGACCTCATCCCACAGTCCCAGCTGGGCAGAACTGGCAGGACCCTAGAGACATAGACCAATGGTTCTTCCCTTTTACAAATAGAAAAACCGAGGCTTGCAGTGGGGACAAGACTTGCCCAAGGTCACAGGGCATCAGTGGCAGAGCCAAGTTTGAATCCAGGCCTTCTACCTCTCAGCTCAGTGCCCAATACCTGCTGCTTCACACAAAGGAATTGAGCTGTAGGGGGGTACCTCGATATGTTTGGGTCACAAGTCCGTGAAAACATCCCATGGTATATATACATCATTAAGATAATCACAATAAAAAACTAGGGTTTATTAAATCTCACTCTGTGCCTGGCACAGTGTTATGTTCATTATATACATTTAATCTTCACAACCCTAAGATTTGGGACTGTTTATCTTTATTTAACAGATGACAAAACCGTGGCTCGGAGAGGGTAAGCAACTTGTCTAAGATCCATCACACAGCTAGGAAGTGACAGTCAGGACTCAAACTCCAGAGCCTTGTCCCTATACTTGTCCACCTGAATGGCACAGCCCCCACCTGCTTCTCCTACTCTCCAGTACACCCTCGCACTCTACTCCCTCACTCAAAGCAAGTCTACCCCAACTGCAGAAGAGTGTTTAGAACAGGCCTGTTTTACTGCACTGATCAAACCCCATTTGAAAAAGAAAAATGACAGTTCCTCTTGTAGAGTTTTCATCTGAGAAAACTAGCAGCCTTTTCCTTCTCTGCCCCTTTCCACCGGATGAGAAAACAGTCTCCCTTCTCTCTGAGATGATGTCGGGTTGGTGAATTCCAGCATCCAGGAGCACATTATGGAAGCTGCCAGGCAGTAGAGGCTCCGAGGGGTTAGTGACAGTTGAAGGGACCCACTCTGCAATCAGTTTTCAAGTTCCCCCTGGGGCACCTCCCTACATTTCCCAGCCAGGCCTTGTCTAACTCCAAAGCGCCTTTGCTGGTGAACTCTCTTTGTGGGAGGGTGAGTTTAGCTTAGCTGGGGAGAGCTATGGAGGCAGGTGAGTGGGAGGCAGGAAGACAACCACTACTACCTTCATGTCTCCATAGAGTAGTAAACATCTCCCAAGGGACCCTTGACTTATCAGACAACAGAGGGTGCTGGTCAGCTGCATGGCTTCAAAGCCTGGCTCCTAACTGTGGAACTTTGGGCAAGTTACTTTATAGAGTCATTATCAGGATTTAATGAGTTAATACATAAAAAAGTGCTGGCAAGGGTATCCAGCACCTAGTAAGTACTCCCCAAAGCTAACTCTTGTTATTATCACCAAGAGAATATGAGCATGGGACAAGCTATTAATAGTGCTTACCTTTGGTTGTGGGACTGGTTATAAAAGGAAACTTTTAAAAAGTCTTTTGCCCTGTTTATTTATTGAATTATTCATTTTTTATAATATGCATATATTACTCTTCTAATAAAAAAATCTAGTTTAAAATTTAAAAATGAACAAAGAGAAAAAATCCTCTGAAGTTGCAGCACTTCTTGGCATTTTATGTTCCTCAACGTAGATAAAGAAGAATGTTTCTACTGTGAGCCAGGAGTTGCCAAATAACTGATTCATTCATTTATTTTACAAATATTAATGGAGTGCCAGGCACTGTTCCAGCTGCTGGGGATTTAGCAGGGAACAAAACAGATCATTTCTGCCCTTCTGGAGTTTCCATTCTACCTCATCTTAATTAATCTCTTCTACAACCCTCAAGGATGAGCAATTTAGAGACCAAGGCAGACCCAGGCAGAAGTCTCTTGCCTGCATCCCACAGCTGGGAGCAGGGCTACAATCCCCCAAGCCAGGCTGTTTGTACCACTGCCCAAGAGGGCAGGCCTGTGGATGGAAGGTTTAGGGCTGGTGTCCCCAAGAGGTGAGAAGGAAGATGAATAAGGAAGTCTGCATATCCAAGCTCAAAGCTTTACTATGTTTTATTGAACACACTGTGGTGAAAGAGAGGTAATGGATGCAGGTGAAAACTAGAGACTTAGATCACAGAGACAGGCACAATTGACACTCAGACCTGAGTTTTTCCCATGGAGTTCCCCATGTACCTCTATCTAGCAGAGTGGCAAAGCTTTAAAACCCCTGGTTGTTGGGCCTCAGCTCTAGGGTAGGCAGGAGACCCTGGTCCCTCCTAAACCACCTTCCTAAATTCACCTGCCAGAGCCTGAATTGAAGGAAAGGGCTGGTCTCCTTCTGCCCCTGAATTCACTCAGCTGGCCTCCCAGATACGAGAGCGGGAGTTCTCTAAGTGAGGGTGAGGCATAGTGTTCCCAGATGCTCCCGTCCTACCCAGGGCACCCAAGTATCCCCACCCCTATCAGTGCCAGCCCAGGCAGAGGAGCTGGTCTGCTTGTGCCCACCCCTGATGCTCTGGTGGAATAGTGGCCACAGCTCAGGTGGTCCAGCATCCGGTTGGCGAGACTGGCCCAGTACCTGGCAGCTCCTTATGACACTTTCCAGGGAGGTGGCTCTCCCTTTCCAGGCCTGCCCAGTCAGGAGGGTGTAGGGAGGCAGAAAGAGCACAAAGGAGTGAACGGTTCTTGGAGTCTAAGATCCCAACACAAACAGATGAACATGGACCAGAAATGGTCAGAGATCTAGAGACATACCAAAGAGAAACCCGGAGAAGGACACACACAGGAGCAGACACTTTGTGAGAAACACTCACAGGGGCGGAGACCAGAGGCAGAGAGACCCGGAAGGGAGACCCACGCAAACGAGTGATCTAGAGAAAAACACACAGGCAGGGATCTCAACAGATCCACAAACCAGCCCCGGACACACCCCCAGCCCCAGCCAGCCACAGTTCCACAGCGCACCCCCTGAAGGAGGCCACTGGCACAGTGCTGGCCAGACGCGTGGAACCCCAGATGCCGGGCGGGCCGGGGACTCGCGCACAGGGCGCAATTCTGGACCCGGGAAGCGCCAGGCGAGAAGCGCACACAAAGAGACAGCCCGGCCAGCAGGAGCAGGCTCCGCCCGTCCGCACCGTGACTCCAGACCACCCCCCATCAGGGCACTCGCACCACACACACACATGGAGCCACAGCACCCCATCCGCACGCCCCGGGCCCCCGCCCCGCCGCGCCCCACCCAGTCCCAGCCGCCTGGGCGCGCGGTGCTCACCAGCTGCAGGCAGCAGAAGGCGACAAGCGTGCAGCGCCCGCTGCACTTGCCCATGGCTCCAGGGGCCGCACAGGCGGTCCGCCGCGGTGCCCCTTTAGCTCGGCGGCCGCCGCCTTCTCGGCGCCGCACGAGCTCCGCGTCCTTCCCGTAGGGCGCCCCGGGCGGCGGGGCCAGGATCCTACGGCCGGGCCCGGGAGCGCCGGGTCCTCAGGGCTGGGGCGGGCCGCCCGCGCTCGGAGTCCATGGTCCGTGCGCCCGCGCGCTGGCTCTGCTGCGCCGCGCCTCCTTTGTCTATCCCGCCGGCCGCCAGGCGCGCCTCTTGCCGCGGGGCCGCTGGCGGGGAGCGCAGAGCAGGGAGCGCAGGCACCGAGCGCGGGGCAGCGCAGAACAGCACTGCCCAGCTGGGGCGGCCGCCCGGGCACTCGGCGGCCGCGGCTTCCCAGCCCCACCACGTGGCTCTGCCGCGGTCGCAGCCAAAGAGAGGGAAGGACGGAGGGTAGGGGAGGGGAGGAAAGGGGAGAGGTGGGGCGGAGCGGCCGCGAGAGCGGAGGGGAGGTGAGAAGGGGTAGGGAAGTGGAGAGTTGGGGGAGAGGCAGAGAGTGAAGTGGGAAGAGTGCAGGCTTGGGGGCTGACAGCCCTGGGTCAGACCCGAACTTCACTGCTCCCTCACTGTCTGTGTGACCTTGGGCAAATCACATCACCTCTCTGAGCCTCAGTTTACTTAAACAAAGTAGGAATAATAACGTCTGCTTCAGTGTTGCCAGGAAGATGAAATGCATTTATGTGAACAAAGCCTGACCTCCTGAGGGTGCGGGAGCTCGCCTCTGTCCACCCTGTCTCTAGGGCCTCGGGGTTCCAACCTTGGTCCTCTATTTCCACTCCAGTTCTCAGATTTGCTTGGCATCCCCGCCTCCCTCCTGAATGCCTGGTCATATTTCCTTCTTTCCCTCTTTTCTTCTACTGGTATTTATTGAGCCCTGACTGCATACACACCTCTGGGATCTAGAGATGAGCCCTGCAGCACTGTGCCAGAACCCATTGAGCTTCCCAGTCAGGCTCCCAGGGCCAAGTCTGGGCAGGGCCCTTAACCCAGGTTGCAGTATGTGTGTGTGGGGGGCGGGGGGGGGGTAGTTTCAGGAAGGGAAGGGCTTGTCAGCATAAGACAGCCTTCTCCAAGAGCCCCCCCCCTCCACACACACCAAAAGCAAATTATCAGACACATCCCAAATCCAATTAATCACCCCTGCCTCACTCCTAACTTCTCATAGTCATCTTGGTGATTAGCATCACTCAACTGGGAATCTCTGTGTCATCCTCTGGGCTTCTCTATCCCGTCTGACCTGCCATTACATTCTGTGAACTGTACCTTCTAGCTAATATCTATGAAATACCTACTATGTGCCAGGCTGTCCACTGGGGATATGGGAATGCACCAGTCTCTGCATTCACTGAGAACAGCCTAGCGAGGGATTGTCATTAAAACAAGAAAACACACCAATAAATACATAATAACAAATTCTGGTGAGTGCCTGAAAGCATAATAAAGAGCAAAAGAGAGAATAAGGGGGCATAATTTATGTTTGGAGACCAGGAAGGACCTCCATGAGGAAATGACATTGATACTAAGAAAATAGAAGAGAAGGAAAGGCAGAGGAGTAGAGAAGTGTTCTAGCAGAAGAAAGAACATTTCTTATTCTTGCTCTTCCCTTCCACTCTCACTAGCCCTCTTGACCCAGAAGGCAGCATGACATAGATTAAGACTACAGTTTGGACCAAAATAGCCTGGGTTCCAGTCTCAGCACTGCCACTTGTATGCTGCTTACGTAGTAATCAAACACATTATTATCTGTTCCTAGGACTGGCTACATACTTTGTGAAGACCAGTGTAAAATAATAATGCAAGGCTCCTTGTTAAAAAATTAAGAATGATGACATAGCAGAGCATTAAACCAAGTACAGGTATGGCACTGTGCTGCTGAAGCCAGCCCTGTCTCCTTCCTGGACTACTAAAAAGGTCTCTTCACTGGTCTCCCTCCTCCATCCATTCCTCAGCATGCCACTTGGTATTTTAAAGCACACAGGATACTCAGTAGAATTGAAACTACATGTGCTGAGGTTTTCACTTGGAATAACAAGCTGAGAGAATAGTGGAAACGTTCTCGGCCATACTTGGGCTAGTAACAGCTGTGTCCAACCAGATTCCATGACTAGACAGGCACCCAGGAGTCTGTGAAGTCCCTGAAATAATATGCAAAGCTTCATGTGAGCAGATGTGCCTTTTTCAGAGGAGAGGGTCCATAACTTTCATGAGATTCTCCAGAGTCCATTTCCCACAAAAGAATAGGAACCCGCCCACAAAGGATTAGCCCAGATGTGACAGTTCTCTACCAAATCCTCTTTGGGGCCTCTTCTATGTAAAGCCTCTGCCAGTTGCCTCTGTGATGCTACCAAAGCTATTCGATAATAATAACAATAACAGCTACCATTTACTGAGTGCTTACTCTAAGCCAGGCACTTCACATACATCATCTCATTTAATCCTTGTGGTAATAGTGGATTCCACTGGGGCTGTGACCGGCCCTTGCCAGGTTTTTGTCTCTATCACGTCATGCCTATGACACCCTGTTCCCAGACTTGACTGACTCACTCGACCAAGGATAGTCTGTCTGACATCAGCAAAACTAGCTTCTGCCCCTTGGTCATTTCCACTTAGTCCAAGTCTCACTCTGATGAATCTACATCACGCTTTGTGTATGTTGTTCTTTCTGTCTAGACTGCATCTCCCATTCAAATTCTTAGCCTGGAGAATTCTATAAATTTCAAATTTCAGCTCAACTGTCACTTTGACCTGGGGGAGGTGCCCTGCCTTTGGGCTCACACCTTTATTATAGCTGTTACTGAGATTTACTGTACTTGTCTGATTTTGTTTTCCCCAAGAGACTGTGAGCTCTACATAGTCAGTGACTGTGTCATAAATTTTCTCTATATCCTACAGGGCTTGGATCATGTCAGGAGTCAGCAAGTATGTGGTAAATGAATGATCTTCCCAGCCTGGGGCCCCAGCATACCTTGTGCCCTCTTTACCACCTGCAAGTCCAGGATTCTAAGGGGGAGGGCAATCTAATTGTAGGAACAGATGGAACCGGCTTTGGCAAGGAATTGGGGGGTGAATTAGTAGCTGGGGATGATGTCAGGAGGGACTTGCAGA